TAAAATAACTACTCCAAAATTTAGTGGCTTTAAACTGCAAGTGTATTTCTCATGATTGTGTGCTGTTCTGCTCCCCATGGCACTGCTGAGCTGTTGTTATCCACGCAGTTGCATTCAGGGGATCCTTGGCTGGGGCCATTCTCTCCATATGGCGTTGCATCCTCCTCCGTCTCCAGCAGCTCAGCCCGGACTTCCGTACAGCATGGCGGCTGCGCCCAAGAGGGAACATTTCAAGAGGACAATCCCTGTGAAACACTGATCAAGCCTGCTTTAATCCATGCACATCCTTCTGGCTATTGCTTGCTTTGTCTCTTTAATCTATAAGGAGCATTTTCTCTGTGAGTAAATATTCTTCCCAGCCTGAAGTTTAATGGCTGGCCAATGATCCATCATTGATTTAACCAGTCCCCTATTGATGAATATTTAGGTGGCTTTCATTTGGGGGCAGTTATGAGCAACTCCAATTTTGTATCAAGAAATTGGTACAAATCCTTGGGGAAGAGGGACAACAGGATGAAAGGACAGGGGCATTTTTAAGACTTTGAGAAATCATTCTTTAAAACCATCGTACATATTGCACTTCTAGCAGCTGGAAAGGACCTGCCCTTTTCACAATCCTCTGGCCAGTACTGGGTGTGTTTGTGTTTTTGGTCTTTGTCAATTAGATAAGTGAAAAACGGTATCTCATTGGGGTTTGAATGGGAGGCAACCAATTGGTGTGCCTCTCTCACATTGATGTTTATCTCTCTCTACACCCCTCCACCCTTCCCTCCACTCTCTCTAAAAAAATCAGTGGAAAAAATATCCTCGCGTGAGGATAAAAAACAAAAAAGTCAATATGCATATGTAATATAATTGAATTTCTATACATAAGTGTAAGATAAATGTTCATTAAAATGATGGATAGTAGGATTGGGGATAACTTTTGTAATGCCTACATTTTACATTTTTTTCTGTAATGAATATTAGCTGAGTTATAATAAAACAGCTCTTACCGCACAGGGCTGCAGTGTGTGTTGACTGGGACATTGATTCCCTTATTCAGTGAATATTTATTAAGGATCGTTTATGTGATGGTTTGTAGAAGCTACACAATGACTGGCCAGTGACGAAGACTCAATAATTGGTGTCACCCAGACTCTGCCTTCCAGGAGTGCACAAGGCTGGCTGCTCAGACACAGGTCTGTGTTACTGCTTTGTGCGTTCTAAAAATCTAGGAAATGGCCCAGCCGGCGGGGCTGAGTGGTTGAGTGTCAACCTATGAACTAGGAGGTCACAGGGGCATTTTTAAGACTTAGAGAAATCATTCTTTAAAACCATCGTACATATTGCACTTCTAGCAGCTGGAAAGGGACCTGCCCTTTTCACAGCCCTCTAGTCTTTGTCAATTAGATAAGTGAAAAACGGTATCTCATCATCGTTGTCTTCAAAAGAGAGAATGTTAAAAGAAAGTTGCCCAGAGCCAGATGGCTTCAGAAGAGTTCTTGCTTTTTCCTCGGAAGCAGCCTAACAAATCAGCAGGGGTGGGGCAGTGTGGTGCAGTGTCTCTCAGCCCACTGACTAGGCTGGAAAAAGGGAGAACAGCCTTGAGAGCTGAGCTCCTGGCTGGGGGGGTGAGGTCACTGTGTCCTCGCAGTGCAGTTGGCTGGGACAAGTTCCCTGCTGTCCTGTCCCGGGTCTGAGAGTTTTCCAGTGGGCACAGGGCACAGGACCTCGCCTGCCATGCTCACTACACCTATCTTGACTTGGCCCTGTCCCATATGACCCACTGGTGCTAAGGTCTGGACCTGGCCAGCTATGGCTGATGATGATTTTAAGGCAAGGTGTATAAAGTGGGACCCCAAGATCAGACCGTGGCTTTGAGCAGCCAGAGCCTTTCTTTATGGCCTCAAAAACTCCTGAATGAGGGACAATTTCCCGTGTGGAAGTGGGAGTCAGCTCTGCTGCTTTCTAGCTGTGGAGGAAGCAGTGAAGCCTTGCTGAGCCTGTTTCTTCATCTAGAATAAGTGGTAGTAGAGCTTTTAGGATTCTTATGTACTTCTTTCATGTCTGACCCTTGTAATCTTCATAGGACCCCTCCAAGACTGGGAGTATCCTGCCTGCTTTACTGGT